ACAGGGTATACCCATCTTATAGACGAACTCAATTTGGACGTACTCACCTCGTACCACATATTCCTCTCACTGACCGATAAAGGCGGCACAACCAAGCGAGAAAGCCATGCAGTCAGAAGCGGCTCTGATCCTCCACTTTGATTCTGCAGATTCAATATTCAAAGCGGAAAAGAGGCACTTCTAGTTGTGTTGAGAACCTTTCGGAGCAGATCCCTCCCAGGAACTGTATCTTGCCATTCATCAGCTAGTGGAACAAGATCTTGATCAGTGAGAAGAGGAGGTGGAAGAAGATGTGGAGCGATACCTGTCGCTTCATCTATTACCCAGCCAGTATCATCCATCAGCAGCGGTCTGGATAATTTCATTATGGAACAGTAAAGAAACATATAACATTACAAAACTGCACACGTATGCGCGAAAAATTGAGATTTATCATTTTTGAACTGAATGAATCTTATAACTGATTGATGGTTAAAGTGAACAGGAGCAAAGCGCCATTCACACTCAACTAACTTGTATCGATCAACAACGTTCCTTTATTATGATTCTCCGTTCCAAGTGAAAATCGAAATAAATAAAAAAACTGTGGGTTTGCGAGGCAAAGAAAACGAGACCGGCAATTACACGACAGCGATGAAGGAAACTCTAACTAGAGGAGATGACACAGCTTGAGCCCCACAAGTTTACTTTGTTTAATGACTGTAAAAAAAATAGTATTTCGTTTCCTACTAATGTTTTTAGAACTGAATTACTTCACGATGCGGCACCTACCAGAACATTATTGAAATCTATGTATAAGCAATGCCTTGTAAGGAAAAATCCGAGTGAAAAAACAATAAGAGATCCACTTACGAGTAATCGGTGTTGAAGAACTGCTGTTTAGGAACGGGTCGTGTTGATTTAGAGGCAACACTATAAATAGTGAGATGTCCCAGGGAATCGACGGCAGCAACAGTGCATCCATCGCGGGATATATCGAGGTCGAAAAGGGCAGAGTGTCCTCGGTGCTCAACAGCATTTGTGAACTTCTTCACTTTTTCTCCAACAAGAAGATCCCAAAACTGTAAACGGACACCGATCGGAAAACTCAAATTTGATATATTGCGATATAAGGAATACGCTACTCACCACCATGACACCATCATGACCACAACTTAGCACGACGTTCGGAAAGGCAGGATGTGCTTTTAACACAAAAGTATCATCCGTATGACCACTAAGACACCGCAGCATTCCGCCAGAACTACTCCAGACTCGTACTAAAGCAAGTGAATTGCTTTTAAATCGGACCACTCAAACAATGCAAGACCCACAAATATAATCGGAGCCAGCCGTGACTATCATTCCATCATCGAGTGACCAGCAAAGCATTGTGACCTAAAAAAAGGGTGTAATAAGAATAAGAAGAAAAGTGATGGTCAATAAAACTCCGAAATCTGACTACTCAAAATCCCACAGATAAGTTCGCCTTGATTTTTGCGTAAACTCGCACTTTTTTGTCGTCCCACCTTTTCTTTTGCACTGCAATTTTTCTCTATTAAGGTGTTCATTCTAAATAACAAAATGTGGAATCGCTATACCAAACCAACTCTACTAAACTTATACAACTAAGCGAAACAAATTTGGTTAGTTAAACAACAACTCTGCCAAGCGAACTCGTTCATGGGTTTTTAAGAACCAGATAGATTTTAAGAGTTGGTGGATAAAACGATGAAAGTACCCACTCTGTATTTACTTTTAGGTCGCTCACTGGACGCAAGCGCTACTGGATGCAGATCCGTAGGTTCGAATCTAAATCTAAATAAGCAAGTTTGTTAGATGTAACAGTAAACAGTAATAGGAAGAACAACAGCGATTTCATACCCAGGTACAATTAGAGAAGTAGACCGCCACTTCCCACATGAAAAACTCCACACTTTTGCCACACCGTCACGACTTCCGGAAGCGAACCTGCATCCCGAATGAGCCCATTCCAGACTATCCACACGATCCTAGAAAATCACGTATACATTACTCCTGGTGTGTGCTGCTTTAGCCAACTTAATCATGACGTCAACAACACCTAACACAAAACAAAATAAGCAAACTCACATTGTGTGCACATATATCTGTGAACTTCGAGACACCTCCATCCGGTCCACGTGACACTCGAAACAGCCGTAGGTAACAATGAGTATCACCAACGACAACCCACTGCCCACTAGGGCTATGGCATAGCGAAATTATTCTCGCACCAAACACTTCTCGTTCATCGAATACAACGATACCACTGAAAACACAATCACATATGGATGAAGTGCAGGTGGGGGGGGGGGGGGGAGGAGGAAGAGATTCTTTGCAGGCGCAGTATCTAAGAATATCACAAAAGAGAAGAAATGAACAAAAACAATCTCCCAGTATTGAAGCGAGTTTGGAATGATCTCGACAAGATCGAAATTCTGAACTCAGGTGTAAGGATAACGTAAACCAGCGAATACATCTCTTAAAAAAACATTTCTTAAAGATAGCGGAAACGGTCAAATCATAATATCTTGTTATCATGGTGCTGAAATGGATGGCACAAACGATTATAATGAATTTTGGGAGTTAAAGGAATATCCGAAGGAATTGTTAGAATATTAATCAATGCGGAGGCAACACCCAAATTAAATACCCTAACACCAGAACTGAGAAATACCCTACCTTTTATAATCGAATGAAGCTATATAACATTTCATACTCAATGAGAAACCACTCACTTGGGATCAAAATCCTTCGTGTTTTCATCGAAAGGGTAGAATACAACTTTGCAATCAAGCGCGCAAGAGACAAGATATCTTTTGCGTTGATCCACAAATGGCAAAAACTTCACTCGTGCAACAACGGCGGTATGAAGATGGAAAACTTGTAAAGTTTCACCTGTTGCCAAAGACCATACTCTAAATGATAGACCATATCACTAACTAAAAACGAAGAAGGAAATCGATGAATACCACTACAACAGCAACCAACCTTATTGACTTGTCTACACTTCCGGATGCGATCATTTGATTACAATACGAGACACTAACATCAGCAACTTCAGCAGAATGTCCACGATAAGTAAAGCGTAAAAGACCTTGATGTACATCCCAAACTTTAATGAGGTTGTCGTCTGCGCCCTGTAAATTCGTATGAGTGAGTAAAAGGGAAAAAAAGAAACGGTGAAAACGATAAGATATGTGAACGATACAACATACAAAGAAAACACCCCGAAGACTAGCACTTATTCGACAACTGCCCATGTTACTAGCTAGGACTTTATGAATTGCTCATTCGTTTACAGACAGTTCTGCGAAACCACTATGCGACTTTCGCTCTCCTAACAGGGAGTATTAAAACGTAGTAGTCACTGTACTTTTCAACTGAATAAAACAAGCAAAGACAAACCGTCAATACATAATTGCCCGTGCGATCAAAGGTCACACAATACACCATCGAAAGATGTCCTAAAACACGATAGTGCCGATCCATCTGATCTAAAGATCCGATACCAGGAAGACGAGCTCTGCTTATGCGTGTTCCAAATTCACGACATGTTGAAAGTCTATAAACAAAGGCTTTAAGAAGTTTTCGATTAAGAACGCGATAACAAAAGAGACAACTAAATGCAGAAAGGAATTCAAACTGACCTTACAGAATTAATAATGTAATTTGGCACGGGTTGGCAAGCTAGCATTCGTGACGAAAAATCTTTTTTTGCGGCAGATTCTATGATGATAGCGTCATGTTAGATTCAAGCGACAACAACCACAACACTGAATGGCATTTGGAAAAATTACCTGGAGTTCTTAAAAGGCAGTTTCGTTTGTTATTGATCAGGCGAATAGGAAGACCACTAACAGATGGTGGCACTGCTGAGTCGGCTAATATAGAAAGGCGTTCGATCAAGTGCAACAGTGATGGAGCAGAGGGGGCAAGTTCGGAAACCTTCAAAACACCAACATTTATTGTACATCAGTTCCATCATAGAAAAATTAAGGAGCTATGCCTAGGTCCAAAAATAATGACAAAAGTGAAAAAAACGAAGGAGTATGGCGTTGAAAATGACAAATTTCTTCGATGGGTTTTTCCTTTATAATATTTCGCGTTCAATATCGGCTTATCGAGGAAGTAAGATGTCCGGGATTATAGTAATTTTTACCTACAAAATCCGTTAGGCTGTGAACAGATTATTATGAACTATCC